TCAACGATCAGGACTGATCATTGACTTCAGGAGAAAACAGCACAGTCATTCACCACTCATCATTAACCGCAGTGCTGTGGAGGTAGTCATCAAATTCCCTGCAGTACAGATAAATGATCGTCCGGACTGGTCACTGAACACATTAACACTGGTTGAACGGGCTCAGCAGAACCTGCACTTCATTTGCTGGTTAAGGAGAGCACACCTTTCCCTTCCCATCCATACATCCATCCATTTAGGACAGCACACACAAACACCATCTCAGTAGAGCCCATAACATCAGAGACTCCGCCCACCTTGACCACGCACTGTTCTCCCCGCTGCTCTCTGAGAAGAGGTTTTGGAGCATCAGGACCAGGACAGCCAGATTCTGCAACAGTTTCATTCTCAAAGCCATCAGACTCTTGACCCCTCGATAACCCTGCAGCATCACTCCCCAGCTACTTTCCCCCTCCCCTCTCTCCATACATGTATAAAGCACATTCTGAAACCGGACTGGTAGCGACTCTATATTTAGGTCAGTGTAATATTTCTGGAATGGTGAATGTACACTGTTATTCTGTTGCTACACTGCTGTGAAATATATTTATTTCAAAGATCCTGTATAGTTTTTATTTTCCTATTATACATATATAGGCACATTTTCTCACATCTCTTTTACCTCAGGTTCTTTTATATTTAGATTTATATAATCTAATGTGCACTAACTGGTTTGCTTGACTGCTTTACTTCTTAAAGGTGAACCACACCTTGATAACAGTGAAACGCTGGGTTAACCCTGAAGTTACCTCGCTCAGCCCCAAATCCTGCTTCGTGGTACAGGCCTCTGATGGATTCCTTAAATTCAAAGCTATAGATCCAAAAGTATTAAAGAAAAACTCTCTAAACTTTCTATGCTCGAAAAACAAACTGAAAGGATTAACTGATGATAAAAACTAAGCCACGCACAGTCAGTCTGTGAGCTCTGTAGCAAGCTAACGTGAACGGTTTATTCAGAAAGCTGAAAATAGAAACGAAACACATATAAAAACCCACTCCGGTTAGTTAGGAAGCTAAGGTAAAGTTAGCTAGTAAAACCTCCAACCTGTTAACCTGTTCACGGCTAGCAGCCTGCAGGTAATTAGCTAAGCTCAGACTCATAACTAACTGCGTGCTCAGCTAAAGTTACCTGTTAGCTGTCACTTATTCACAGAGTTTAGCAGCGCGGCAATGAATGGACGCGTTAACACAACGTGTCAAACCAGCCGGTGCCTTCAAACCCGTCCCCCCGGGACCGGAACACCAGCATCGAACTACCGAACAGGAAACAGCCGACATGAACCCGCTCACCTCTCAGAATCACTGTCCCCAACGGTTCACAGCCATCACATCAGAGTCACCACAGCAGCTTCCTACAGTTCTTGCTACCAAACGTTTTCTAAGCATCTGTGTCAGACAGGAAGTGACGCAGTTTGTTTTCCTTCAGCGTGACGCATGTGACGTGCAATGAGGATTGGCTGTTTACATCGCCCCCCGGTGGGCACCAAAGAGCATTGCAAAGAAAGCCAACGCGCGCGCTCTCAAACTGTGCAAAAGTCTTGAGCCACACCTGATTTCTTTACATTTGCCACAAAAAGATGGAAATAAATACAGCATACAAGGCAAAATCACTAATGAGTTTTAAAGTCAGTGATTGGTATGACTACTTTCAATCTTGAACACAATCTGAACTCTTTGGCAGTTTTCTTCTCATTTTTGTCTTGAGGAATAACTCTCCAGGCTTGTTGAAAGACACTAAACACTCTTTACTGGATGTTGGCTGTCTTTTGCCCTGTTCTCTGCCAAGATGATGCCGCTACGTTTCAACAGTCCAGGCTCTTGTGAGGCCAGTCCATAACTGATATTTTCAGGTATGCTTTTATTGCATTGGCAGTGTACTGGGTTCATGCTGCATATTTATTGAGATATAAACAGGTACTCCAGTTAGGGGACTTGTCTGTTTGCACCACTCCCTGGTGGGCATCAAAGCCCAAAGGAAACAGTCCCTATAGCAGCTGGGATAGACTCTCAGACTTTTGTAATGAGTGCTCAGCAGTGTTCTTACCTTGATTGTGTGTGTGATCTGAAAACAAATAAGACTGTTTTGATATGTTGGTGAGTTTGTATGGAAGGAGCTTTTGTGCATTTTTGTAATTAGATGTTTGTGGAAAAAAAGAAGGTTCTTTGCAGGAGTGAAAAACTAATGTGCAAAGCATAATCAGCTTCATTGTGGTTTCCCGGTCAAAGGCGACCTTCTTTTCCTCAAGAACGATAAAATTTGAATGCTTTCTTTGTTATTAGAGAACCATTTGAACATCCACTCCAGTAGCCTGAATCCCATCTGCTGCAGTATTTGTCATCTTAATGCTTTCATGATATTTGCTGAATAGTACATTTCTCCAAGAATGAAGGACCACTAATAAACATATTCTTCCAAGTAACACAACCTGTTAAAAGTGGGAAACTTGGTAATCTGAGGACAAAGAGCATTTCATAACATTGATTAATACTGAAGCAATCAAGCTGGCTCACTATTGTATACACAAATACTCTCTTAAAGGCTCCGTTTGTGTTTATCATAGCTTTACTGTTTGCTTTATCTATGACAAACTAATTATGGCTTTTAATCATTTTTACACAAAAAGAAACTGAAGCTACATCCAGTGAGCTGTTTTCATCCTCACTTTGGGCTTTTAGTATCAGCCTCAAGGCTTCAGCAGCGGTGGGAAAAGTCCAAATTTTTTTTTAAAAAAAAAAGAGATACTATATTTATTCATATAAATGACTCAGCCTGGTCACTTCTAATTAAACTGGTGAAAAATGAACCAAAAATCAAGCACAGTATAATCAATGATGACACTTCAACAAATACAATTTCTTGGAAAATGAAATTTATATATAAAAACAATCTCCATGACACACACAGAAGGCTAACGAGGATTCTCATACATGAAATTAGATACAATACTTTTCAAAATGATCCTTTACAAGTCTGCGAGAGCGCTGTAAATATTAAAATGGCCAGAAAGTCCATCCTCTGTCAGTCGGTTGGTTCGAGGGTCAGCTCCTCATAGATTCATCTCTTCTGTCCTCCCTCTTGCTTTCTTGTCTTCTCCATCACTATGCTGCAGCTCTAATTTGAACATATCAGTATTTGTTTTTATTAAATTCTATAATTCCCTGCTTTTTCCTGCTCACAGCCCCTGACCGAGCCCCAACACACATTCACAATTAGCTGAATTCTTATCATTTATCTCTCCTATTTTGGCTTCCTTACTTTTATTAGAAATCCCACACGTAAGACACTCTACCCTCCTGCTCCCATGAGCAATCTGACCCCCAATACAACCTCCTAACCGTAATCTTTCTGCTGCATTAATAAACTTCCCGATAAAGTGTTCTTCTCTGTGTTCTGCGTCTGGTTTTTGGTCGGTAAAGTTCCCGTTTCTGCTCCAAAGAACCTCTCCTGGTCTCTGAATGTATTATCTGCATTAACTGAGTGGATATGTTATCAGTCTGTGTGTGCTGTAAATCCACTGGCTTCAGTTTTAAACACAGCATTAACAATGTGCAGAGCGGAGACGGTTTAGCTTCTATCTGACCCGTTTATTCTAAATAAAAACTAAACTCCGTCTGGACTCATGGTGTGAAACTAAGCACAACACTTGATCTTAGATGTAAAGCATAAAATAAATATTTTATGGCTTAAGCAACAATAAATAATCTGTTACATGACATATCAAGCAGCAGTAATACTTGCTGTACCACTCAGGGTACTCTTTGTAATGGCTTGCCTTCTTCCTGGAACTACAACTTCATCTTTATTGTAAACCTATCACGGGTTTCAGCTTCGAGCTCTAATAAATAATATTCTACAGCTCGAATCTACACTCACATTAGGAAAAGTATGTAAAGATGCTACATAATGGATCACGTCAGCTCTGTTGAAATGTCAGTGTCCAGATGAGGGGAATCTTTTTAATCCACCTGTGAGACAAACACAGAAAGCAACCCGACAATCTTACACTGCTGTGGAGCACAACAGCTGCCCCTCCCCCTCCCGACCATCCAATAAACTATTAACCCTTTACATCATAAACCTTTTTTTTTTTTAACAGCATCATGGCCAAATGTATGTGGACACCCAATGCCCCTAACAACAGCCTCTGCTCTTCTAGTTTTGTAGTTGTGTCCATCAAACTGGATGGACATTTGCACACACCATCGCTAACACAGCTCCTCTGCACAGCGCTGCCAGTAGCTTTTCTATTCGTCTGCAAAATGCTACTAAATGGGTAAAATGAGTAATTTTCAGCATTTAAAGAAGATCTGTTGGGCTGATGTCCAAATGCATTTTAAGTCTTGAGCTCTAGAGTTGCTGTGCAAGGTTCACAGATCAAATTAACTAATATTTCATTAAGATAAAGGTAAATAAACTGTTTTAGCTCCCTTTAAGTAAAAGTGTTTAAGAGCTTTTGGCTCACAGGGTTTCAGGCAACTTTAGCCACATTAAACAGAAAATAAGGACAAGTTCTTCTTAATGAAAAACCTAAAAATGAGAAAAGAAACACACAAAGTAAAAAAAAGAAAGAAAAGAAAGTCCATCCTTGTTTGAGTTTCAGCTGATCTTTGATTTTTGACCAACTAACATGATAAGAAAGAAACTGCAGATGCTGAAATGAAAGTTTCTGAGTTAAAAATATCGTAATCATGTCATTTGATTCCCCTTAGTGGGATTGGGTTAAAAATGCAGTGCAGACTGTTTCCATGGTTAAAATGGCCAAAAACCCCTTTAAAAACTGCCCGGCGACAAAAACAGGCATCGAGTCTGTCCACATACTTTTGGCCGTAATTCTTAATTCTGAATCGCTAACACGGATAAGGTCACAGACGAGGTGACGTGTGCGTGGTTATACAGTATGATTCACCTTACAGTATTCTGTTACAATGACACCGTAAAAGAATAGATAATCTGGGAAAAATAGTCTATGGGATATGTGAAAACTGCAGATCTGCACTCGGAATTCAAGATCAGAAGGAATAAAAAAGCTAAAACTTTTCACTTGCTATTCTAATGAAGGGCACAGATGGTAAACTACAGAGAAATGCTGCCGCCGTGATCTGGATGAAGCCACTTAGCCCCTTTTCCGTGTCTGACCCCGGAGTCTTTGGGAGTTACCGGCCGCCTGGCTGACACGTGCGCTTCCAAACATCACTGCGTAGCCCTTCACCATTCTCAATGGTCTGCCCATATTTGGTCTTTAAAAGTCAATATTCATGTGTAAAAAAATATAAAATCAACTCACAGACAACAAAGTCCAGCTGGAAGTCGGAATCATTCCAGTTTAAATGTTTTAACGTTTGCTTTTTGGTATGGAATGGAGAAAAGAAAAAGGGGACGTGTAGTGCCTGGGAATCAAAGATGTTTGGAGTACAGCTGCTGTTACCTGATTGTGCTTTTCACAGAGGATTCATGATATAAACACTCGCTAGGAATCTCAACTGGCCTGAGTGGAGGCTCAATGGCATCAACCAGGATGGATGATGAGGATGAAGGTTGAGGAAAGACTCCTGGAGAGCAGTCTGAGAGACTGGGTGAGTGTATTGCACATCAAGTATAGGCGTCTTTTGCGACTGCTTTAGTTGATGTTTCAGGACGTTTTCAGGGCAGCTGTGCAGAAAGGATTGAAACGCTGAGGAGACGGAGCCGTCAAACCCTCGACCTTGAACCTTCTGCATGCAGGAACTGCACTAAAGCAGCTTCTCGTATAACTTCAAAAGACGATTGCGCGTACCTGCCGCACAACCAAAATCCCCAAAGTCCCGAACCCGAAAAATGAGAACAGGAGGAAAAAAATAGAGGAGAAACTTTGAGCCAGCCTCTCTTTGTTTGGGCTCCAACAGCAGCTGATGGTGATCCTGGAGGAGTCTGCTGCTAGCCCAGCTGTATCTGTCCAGAGTACGTCGTCAGGAGGAGCATGATGGAGAAGCCCGTCAGCAGGCCGGCGTTCTGGATGCCAAAGGTGAGGAGGAAGCTGCTGCCGCCTGCATCCTCTTCCTCACGACTCACCTCGTTCATCTCGGGAAACTGTGACACATAAAACAGAGCGTCACTTCGTAAGTGTCTGACGTGTAACCAAGAACAGCTCGACCTTATTCAGCTCAGTCACACCAACTACTGCTCCATTATCTTACCCCTCATTGAAATGTTTCAATCTTTCAAAGTCCAACACATAAAATATTTACAAGAACTCTCCCCCTTTCCTAACCAGCTGTTCAAACATTTGTTTGTAATAAACAGCCAATCAGAAGAAAGCTGGCTTAGAGTGGGAGGAGCAAAAACAGCTTGTTTCAGAGAGAGGATAAGCTGGGAGGCAATCAAGGCTAAGATGAGAAAGAATCATTCAGGATTATTTTTTTTTATTT